CAATACTCGTATTGGATAACTATACCCAAATTGACTGAAATTTTATTATACATTCTCTTAAATAGAATTAAATCATTTTAATAAATTTATATTACAGCTTCTCTACTTACGATTCAAAAGAAGACGTCATACCTTATTACGATGATGGCGTTCATAGAATTTTGAGATGAATAGCCCTCAGATTCGTTTAATTATAATATATATAATAAAAAACTCCTTTTAACATTAGCAATATATTATAACAATTTTAACTTATTCTTTTTTTATTTAAAATTAAATTGAAATTTTAAGAGTTTGAAAAAAAATTATCAAATAAAGATAGATTTTTGATCAAATTTTACCTAAAAATTAAAAAATCTTTAATTTTCATTCATAAAAAAATCTTTTCAATATGAAAATCACAAATTTAAAGATTCATTTTTTTTTCAAACTTCTGGCAGATTTCACAACTTTCGGCGTTTAAATATAATCAAATTATATTTTATAAAATATATTATCTCCCTCGATATCAGTTTTTGTTACGTTTTTCGACTGGTAACTTTTCCACAATAATAAAGATTCCCTCTCGTAATATAAATATAGAAAATTATGCGTAAATCGACTATATTTTCATTTTTTATTCAATATCTTTTTTATTAATATATTAGCAAATATTTATACATTTATAAATTATATGAGAATCTACATAATTTCTTCCCGAAAAAAGACTATTATATTTTAGGTTCATTTATCTCAAAATAGGCAAAAAAAATGTATAATTTTTTTTAAGCAATTTATTGATTTTAATTTATTAAACGAATTTTTAGTACCATACCAAGTTAGAAGAAAAAAATTACCCATTCATAAAGTGACCAGTCCCGGGTGATCATTCCCTTATCTCTCAATATAATTTAATATAAAATCTTAGTTAAAAATATGTAGGAAAACATGGGATGGGCTGGGGGTGTAAAATATTGAGTATACTAGAAGATTTTACTTAACCCATCTGACTTAGCGGAAGGAAAGGCTTCCTCTTTCCCATAATGGCATGATTACAAACGCTAATTAAGTAATCTTTTAAAATAGGTTTATACAAGTTGGGAGGGGGAGAGGAGTTCAACCATTACAATATTATTGATTTGTTTTTTTAGACAAAAAAAAACTAAAGGTAAATATATACCATTTATTTTTTTAAAAAAAGAGAAATAATAAGGTCCATTACCCCTGATATTATTTATCCAATTTTAATCAATATGTCGAAAATAAAAATTTATAAAAAAAATATTTTGGTAGGAACTCATTTTTATTTGAATTGTAGTTTGCCCATATATCAAATCTCTCTATATGGTTAAAAAAAAAAATACAATCAAGGGTACCATTTTGCATGGTCAGATAAGAAAAAAAATTTTATGATAGATGTTTGAAACATCAATTTATTTCAATTAATTTTAAATTACAATATATTAAAAATTGAAAACAATCCAATTTAGCTTTATTATAATATACAATCAAAACAATTGCCGAGTGTGATTGTACCAAGGCCTGTAAAAATTCAGGAATCATTCTTAAGTCTTGACTATATTTTTGGAATAGTTTGCTTTCTACCCTGATTCCTTTTCTTTGGGTATAGTGGTTCTTATTGACCATTGTCTTATTTTTGTCATGTATATGAAAAGTTTTAATAATTAGCTTCCATATATGCGGATGTGGGTGGCCTACAATATGGTAGAATCTATTATTCCAACCCTCGCCAAAATTATTTGTTTGGTTAAGACTCTCTTCCATGTGCACGGTGGAAAAAATGGTTCAATATGTTTTTGTGGCCTTGTATATTATATCCACTGACATTACCTGTATTAATATCAGATATGCAGGGGTACTATTTGCACGGCCAGACCCGGCCTGGAAATTTTGGCATGGACCGGACTTGTATTTTCAGGTCCGAATCGGTTTTTTAAAATAAATCTTCTGCCCAGCCCGGATTTTTTTTAAATATATTACATTTATTTTCCTTTTTCCCTCAGTTTTTCAGTGGAGTTTTTTCTCGATTCATGAGTTCCATATACCAATATCACATATATGTATATATAATAATTTTATATATTATTTCCTAATATAGTGAAACTTTATGCGCCGTTGGAGAAGAAAAACTCGATTTTTTCCGCATTTATATATTTTTAATTTATTCATGATTGTTATTTTTTAAATAAATGAATAAAAGGGGTAACTAAAATCGAGTTTATTTGTAATGTTTAAATAAAATTAAATTATTTTATAAAAACTACTAAGAGACCTGTAAAATAGAAATTTCTTGGCTATAGACCTCTGGCGGCCTAGTGAAATCTAGGTTTGGCTCATTGTCGCCCGGGGCCGACTCAAGCTTAAATTATTTATTTTATTCTTCACTTTAGTGTTATGATAATTTTATTGGTTTCTATATTTCAATATATTTACTAAAAAATATGATTAAATGAACTTCCTACTTCCTAATTTTTTTTTAAAACTTTTCTTATTTTTAAACTAATTTTCTAAGTATATACAATCAGGCAAAAAAAGAAGAATAGGAAGGGAATATAATATTAATATTTGAGTCATGAATTTTATTGTTAGTGTTATTGCCAGTCCCGGGCGAACCTTACAATTATGAGATTCTAGTAGCCATTAGCTAAAAATATAATTTTTGTTGTATATTTCTATAAAAAAGGATTCAAAAATATTTAATGATTCAGCCATAAACATTGGTATATTTTATTTTGAGGAATAAAAAAATTATAAAACCCTAATAATTCGTGATAATGTACCATATATTGCCTTGGCAATGAGCAGGGTTGGTCAAATTTTCAGAAAATTGTATTCGGATACAGATACTTTATAAAATTTTGTATTTAAGATACAAGATATTTAGAAAAGTTTTGATAAGATATAAGATACAAGATACTTGTATTTTTTTTAAAAAAAAGTATCTAAGATACAAGATACTTTTTTAAAAAACTTTAAATAGTCAAAATCAATGTATAAAGCTTTATTTTCTTATGTATAATATAAATTTATAAAAAAATATTTAAAATAAATTGTAGAAAATAACAAATTTATTATGAAAGATAATGCGATATTCTATTTAATAATTATATAATTAGTAAATAATAATAAATCAGCATTATTTTTTAATATTATTAATTTTTCGTTCAATCTTTAAACGATTTGGTCTATTATCCATATTAGCAAAGCTAAATAATCTTTTAACGGGGGCTGAGGAGGGTAATATTGTGTTTTATTTAATAAATATTTCTTTTATATATTTATAACTATTTAACATATTTATACTCCGCCTGTCATCTTTCATATAATTTAGGACCTCTGTTTCAATATCATTTATTGAATTATTAGAATTGGATGTGGTACTTTTAAGGCAAAAGTAATCATCATCTTCATCAATTGAAGATTTTGTTGAATTATTAATTTCAATATTATTTTTAAAAACAATTAAAACTTCATGTAATAACAAATCCTGAAGGTATTTTTTTTCTTTTACATCATCAATCCAACGATTTTTAAAATAGGGATGAGAAATTGTTGCCAAAAATGCACTTTTAAAATTGTTATCAAAATCATATATATTTTTAAATCTTTTATTCAAATAATTTTCTATGGCAACAGCTAATGGTTTGCAAAATTGTAGATTGGTTTAAATTAAATTTGTAATTTTTTTAACATTTAAAATTGGAGCTGATTCTTCATAATAGCAGTTGATTTCACTCTGTATTTTGTCAATCGCTATAGCCAATGGGGCCATTATATTGCAATATTCTTCTAAATATTGAATTTCAATATCTCTTAATTTAGGAAATTCTAATTTTTGACATAATTTAGGAAGTTCGCCTTTAAATTTTAATAAACTATGAAGACTATCATACAAACTATTCCACCTAGTGCAACAAGGTGTAACTAATTGTTTTCCTAAAACTGCTTTGATAAGTTCTGCAGTTTTAGGCCTATTATTTGCATTCCATAGCTTAGTACATTTAGCTATTACAGGATGATGAATTTTAGAAATTTTAGGATAATAGCTCTCTCGACATCTGTTGTGGCAATTAGACTTATCGTATGGCACAAACAACGAATGTGTTGAGGCAATGTTATTGAGGCTTCTTTAGACCCTTAAATAAACAAATAAATAATTTAATTTGAATAAAAATTTTTACAAAATTTACAATATCATAATAAATTATAAAGAACCTTGAAAGCTTTCTTAAAGTTAGAGCCGTTATCTGTAACAGTTGCTATAACTTTTTCGTCAATACCAAAGTCACGATAAATTTCTTTATTATGATCATCTTGAAGTACTTCAAAAAATTTGCCATTAAGTATGATTTAAATTTATTGTTATAATTTTCGGTTGAAGAATCATCTGAATACGAAGATAAACATATTATTCTACTTTCTTCTTCTATATTAAAATAGACAGATATAAAACGATTCAAATATGGTAGTTCTAATTGTTAGCAAATTGCTATATGACGGCCAACGTCATATATCAAAAATTATCTTAAAATATCTAAATTTTGATTAAATTTTTCATTTAAATCTTAAAACAATATCATTTTAAATTTTAATACTATTTAAATTATCCAATATAAATTTTTTTTGAAGTATCTGTATCTTTTTGAATACAAAGTTGGTTAAGATACAAATACTTTTAAATAATATGTATCTTAGATACTGGATACAAGATACTTTCCAAAATTTTAAACGATACAAATATCCGCGATACTGCCCAACCCTGGCAATGAGAAATAGAAATTTCTAAGTATTTCTAATCAAAACATCAAATCAGTATCGGTTATCAGATCAGTTTTTTATATGAATATCGGATTAGATCGGTAAAAAATTGTAAATTGGCGTGGCTCTACTAATAATTAATAACTTATGAAGTCATCCTGGAAAAGTAGGAAGGGACAGAATGAAAGAAATATTAATAAATATAATTGATAGCTTATTATCCTTTTACATTCTTTTATTATTATATATGCCAATACCATGCATGTTTTAAAAAAATTTGAAATTGTACAATAAATCAATACGATACTATTTATTATCTCTTATAAAATAATATATATAATTATAGAGTTTAGCTAATATTTCATTCCGTCTGTATGATTAAATTCATTAGCTAATATTTCCTTCCCTTTGTGAGTTTAATATAATGTTGGCATCGATAAGGTCTATACGTTCTTCTATTTATGGTATTGTTACAGGAGTGTCGGAATCTAAAAGTACCAAATATTCATATATTAGTGGCTTCGTTAGCAAAGTGTCTATATAGCGAGGGTATCATAGATTCTTCATCGTCATTTGGGTACGTTAATACAGTGTCGGTATCGAGAAGTGTAATATGTTCTTCTAGCTGCGACTTCGTTATTGCAGTATCAGCATTGCGAAGTACCAAAGGCTCTTCTTCCACTTGTGGGTTCATTAATATAGTGTCAGTGTAGCGTGGTACTTTTTCCACTTGCGTGTTCGTTAATATAGCATCAGCATCGAGAATTGCCACAGGTTCTTTTGTTTGTAAATTCATTAATACAATGTCATTATCGAGAAGTGCCACATGTTCTTCTAACTTTGCCTTCATTAATGCAGTATCGGCATAACCAAGTACCATAGGCTCTTCTTCCACTTTTGGGTTCGATAATATATTGTCGGTATCAGGAAGAGCCACATGTTCATCTAACTTTGCCTTCATTAATGGAGTATCGTCATAACCAAGTATCATAGGCTCTTTTTCCACTTTTGGGTTCGTTAATACATTGTCGGTATCGGGAAGTGCCACAAATTCCTTTGTTTGTGAATTCATTAATACAATGTCAGTATCGAGAAGTGCCACATGTTCTTCTAACTTAGTCTTCATTGTATCGGCATAACCAAGTACCATAGGCTCTTCTTCCACTTTTGGGTTCGTTAATCTATGGTCGGTATCGGGAAGTGTCACAAGTTCCTTTGTTTGCGAAGTCATTAATAAAATGTCAGTATCGAGAAGTGCCACATGTTTTTCTAACTTTGCCTTAGTTAATGCAATATCGGCATAACCAAGCACCATAGGTTCTTCTTCCACTTTTGGGTTCGTCAATCCATGGTCAGTATCGGGAAGTGCCAAACGTTCCTTTGTTTGTGAATTCGTTAATAAAATATCGGTATCAAGAAGTAACAAATGTTCTTCTAGCTGTGGATTTGTTAATGCTGTGTCGGTATAGCGAAGCACCATAGGCTCTTCTTCCATTTGTGGGTTCATTAATACAGTGTCTGTATCGAGAAGTACCATAGATTCTTCTTTGTACCTTTCCCCGGTTGGATCGTAAACGGAATTCAAAAAAAATACGTCACTTTTGGATACAATATGAAGAACGGGATATTCTAATATGACTTTTTTGAATAGGTTGAACTTTAAACTTTTTGCCAAGTCGATGAAATGCCATCTAAAATATACAAATTTTAATTTTTAATTATGACAAACGTAATTATTAAGAGGCCTCCTTCTTTGATATATACCCCTACCCTCACCAATCCTATACATATTATATATTTAAATTAATTATTCTATAAAAAACATCTCAAGTTTTAAAAAAAAGTAATTATTTTAATCTTTTAAAAAAAATTCATTTTGGCTTTTGTACTATCTTTTCTTCCAATTATTTTATTCAATTTTTTTTTCAAACCTTTTTTTCTCTATTAATAATTTTATAAAAAATTTACTTCTAAACCTTTTGAGTTGATGACTCTGTCTACATTCGTTCTTCATGTAAACGTAATAATCGTTGTGCGATTTGGTTATGTTATTGTCTTTTGTTCCTCTGCTAATGGAAGTATTATCCAAACATTCTGATAAAAATTTATCCAGCAAATCTTTTAGCAATGTTTGTTCCGGTACTCTTTAAAAAAAATATTTATATAATTTTTTATACCCAAGTGTAAATCTTCTACATTATTTTTTTTCTACTTTCCTTGGTAATCTTCTTTCTTAATCCTTATTTTTAAATTTTCAAAATATTACGTATGAATATAACAGATGAACTTCTACGTCTAAAAAAAAGCTATCCATTATATAAAAAAGAAATCTTTTTTGTAACAAAAATCGAACAAAATGCTATAATTTATTCACTATGCTGTGGTCTAACTATTTTCAATTCTTAATATCATTATATTTGAAAATTGTTGGGAGACTCTTTTTGAGTTCGTTTTACGGTACCTCTAGAGTATTCTTACAAGAAAAAATAATATCTTTATTTTATTATTCTAAAAAAGGGATGCCATTCAGACTTTTTTTTAAAAAAACAGCTTACTCATTATATTTTATAAATAAAGTTTAAGAGATATTTATCTTTTTTTTAAGCAATAATTATGTAGTATATATATATATATATCAAACCTTTTTTCGTGATGACAATAATTTATAGAGGGAAATACCCACTTGACGTGCCATAAGAATTTCTTGGTTCTTTTGATGAGAAGCAAATAAAAATATTTAATTTAACTGAAACTATAATAAAAAGAAATGTCTTTAAATTTAAGGTACAAAAATAAGTTCAATCGCTGAGGCTAATTTGAGAGTCCTGCGTCGACATTAAAAATAATTATTGGGACCGGGGTGGAGTCATGCCTGAATTTTTTTTTTAATAGGGTCGTAATTTAAGAAATATAAGATAATGTTTTCACTTAGTTTAAAATAAAAAAATATTATTGATGTTCCTCTGGGATTGGGTTAAAGCAATTAGTGAATATTTTTTATAGAAATAATGCGAATTAAATTCATATAATTTTTTCTAAATTAAAAATTATTGGATAGATTCGAGCCTAAAAATAAATTTTAAAAAATTCGGGCCGGAAATTTGATTCTGTCGTGCTTACGATCTTTAAAAAAAGGGAGGGGGGGGGGTATATTCGCGAGATTTATATATTGTCGAATATATCAATATAACCCTCCGCGTTTCTCGGGTCATGGAAGGGACAATCCAAATGTAAAAAGGTTAAAACCAAGGCCGTGCGTTTGTAAATTATTATTAAGATTTCTGCAACCCGAATATTAAAAATCTCAGGAAACGGAAAAACTTTATTGAGAATATAAAAAATATAAAATGGTGGCATGCTTAAATATATATCTCATAATTGATTAAGTATAAGCAAATTTTAATAAAATCGCATTCCATTTTATAAGGCAAAAAAAGGTAAATAAATATTATAATATAAACTTCATATCGAATATTGTAGTATTTTCAGCATGGCGTGACATGCCATAAGACATTATCCTTAAAAAAATCCTCTGTGATCTGGCAAATCGTTTCATTATGGTTACCTTTTTTAAATAAAAAAGGATTAAGTTAGCAGTTTTTTATTGGCCATATTGCGCAAGTGCAAATATTTATTTCTATTTACTTAAGAGTTAATTTTTTTTAAAAGATGATTACCTAATACCTATTAATGCAAAATAAATATCGTCATAGAATAATAAACGAATAATTTAATATCCGGTTAATTATTTGTAATTAGATTATTCGACAAATAATTCGAATATCTCGTTTTATTATTCGATCCAGGATTCAAACCGAACCTGAAGCGCGATTATTTAAGGAATCTAAACCGAATCGCCAAAAAATTGTCCACCCGAACCTGAACCTCTATATTGTATATTGCTATTTGATGGTGTCAGCTACCCTGAATTCACAGTTAGGCGATTTAGCATTAACTGTGAGTGTGGTAAGTATTTTTAACCTTAAAATTTGGAAATAATTTGACAGAAGAAAATCTTGAAAATATTTTAATTGTATATAGCTCAATTTCCTTTTTTAGAGAATAATGATAAAATTTTAAAAATTGTGCTACTCTTTACATAATTCTAATAAGCTTGTATGTTAAATAGTTCAAACCGGACTAATATCATAATTTTTTATGAACAATTTGAACTATAAACTGTTATTTTTATCTGAACCTATACCGACTTTCTTTACGGTTCGGCTCACTGATTTGTTCGGAAATGATTTTTAACCAAATTTAATCATTTGCCCTACTATTGATAGCAAATCAATTTGACAGATGGTATGATTAGCAAGGGACACATCAACTGCTTGTGAAAGATCTTAATTAAAACTAGATATCTACCAAGCATGGCCTGTCCGAAAATTCAGTCTAAGGTCAAATTTTAAAAAAAATTTACTATGGGCCATGCAATATGTTCATAAAAAAAATAAACATGCTCGGACTGGACAATCCATACACAAAAAATGGAGCCGCCTAGTAAATCGTAGATTTAAGGTAACATTTTAATATGCCAACCCGGACATACAAATTTTGATATTTTTGTTAGAACTTCAAGTATATTTGATATAAATTACAACTTGAGCTGTTGTCTTAATAAAATACTAAATAGATAAATAATATAGTAAATTCACAAAAGATTACAGGTTATTTATGATATGCAATTAAATACAGATATCAAAACAGAATTTATTTTAGCCCGAATTTCGAGCTCACTAATTTCAACAAATGAATAAGATTCAAGATTTCATCTAGGTCCTTGGTAATGATTGCCACAACATCGGCGTAGGATATAATCTTGTTCTCTAGATGGTACACATTATTCGGAGATGAGTTGAGTTCCAGCAGGTTAGCAGCGCCTAATGTATCTTTTAAAATTTTATTCATAACTATGTTAAAGAGGATAGGCGAGAGAACACAGCCTTGTTTCACTCCTTTTCTATTCCTAAACGGCGGAGAGATTTTATTATTTATTCTGCATGATGTACAGATTGTTATAATGGTATCGTAATATCTTGATTATATTCGGGTCAACCCCAACTTCTGATAATATCTTCCAAAGTGCATCATGATTAACATTATCAAACGCCTGTTTAAAATCAATAAATGTGAAGAAGAACGGTAGTTTATACCTGTCACATTTTTGGATGATGATTTTAAGAGCAAGAAAAGGCTCCATAATATTTTTGCCTGGGCGATAAGCACAAATATACTTAGCGAAAAGGTTTTGCGATGTTTGTAGTATGCGAATCTTGAGGAGGGCCATAAAGATCTTAGATGCAGTAGAAGTGAGTGCTATTGCCCTATAATCGCCAAATTTAGTGAGATTTTAGGGAAGTTGCAAAGGGTGGATAGATTCCAGTCTTTCGGTGTCATCCCTGTAGACCAAATTTTATTGAAGATAATTTGCAGGAAGCGTGGTACAGCATTTATGTTGCTTTGAGATGTTCACCAGTAATATTGTCTGGGCCAGGAGCTTTATGATTTCTAAGTTTTCTGAGTGCAGTGGAGATTTTAGTTAGTGAAAATTGGGAGGTAGATTGGGGAGTAGATAGTATACTTGTTGGTTTCCTAGATTCGAAGATCTTCATGTAATGATTGCTGGATGATCTTTAAAAATGACATTCACGAAGCAAGCAAGGTTTTAGGAAGAAACAACCCTCTCGGGAGGAATGAATGGATATCCATTACAACTATGATAAAAATTGAGGAGCTCCGTTCAAGAGATCACTTTGAGAGGAAACTTTGGAAATCTATATAGAGATTACTAAGAAGTGACAGAAGAATCTTCACAAAGCATACGAGATTGATGCAGATATGAGAGGAAACAGGCTTTTTGACGCTTACAGTAAAATTAAATATTTTTGCAAATCTCAATATACCTCTCAGTTCTCACTAACCGAAATTTCTTCTTGACTTAAAAAACTTAGGAATCACAAAGCTCCTGGTCCAAACAATATTACTGGTGAGCATCTTAAAGCAACATCAGAGGCAGTACCACGTTTCCTGCAAATCATCTTTAATAAAATTTGGTCCACAGGGGTGACACCGAAGGACTGGAATCTATCCACCCTTTGCAACTTCCCTAAAATTTCAAATCCCACTAAATTTGGAGATTACAGGGCAATAGCAATCACCTCTACTGCTTCTAAAATATTTATGATCCTCCTCAAGGTTCGCATTTTACAAACATCGCAAAACCTCTTCGCCAAGTATATCTGCGCCTATCGCCCAGGCAAAAATATTATGGAGCCTTTTCTTGCTCTTAAAATCATCATTCAAAAATGTGATAGATATAAACTACCTTTCTTTTTCACTTTTATCGATTTTAAACAGGCGTTTGATAATGTTAATCATGATGCGCTTTGGAAAATTTTATCAGAAGTAGGGGTCGACACAAACATAATAAAGATATTACGGCACCATTATAACAATTTGCCTACCTCATGCAGAATAAACAATAAAATCTCTCCACCGTTTAGGATAAAAAAAGGAGTGAAACAAGGCTGTGTTCTCTCGCCAATCCTATTCAACATAGTTATGAATAAGATTTTAAAATACTTTAGACGCTAATGACATTCTATCAACAAACTAATAATGATATCATTATATCATATATTTTATTGTACCATATCAGGGCAAATTAAGGACCCTCCTTTCATTTTTTATACAATATTTTAGAACACAATTTTAGATACTATCTCTCCCTTCTTCAGCGACCTGTCCCTAGATTTTTATATATATTATTTTAATATTTTTATTACGTAATTATATACATTTTTGAATAAATGATAAAGATAACATTTAAATTTATTAAAAATTAAGAAATATAAATGGGGGGGGGGGGGTTCCTGTTTCATATAGTACCTCTTAAGAGTCTCCACATTATGAGTACATAGAAGATTTAGGGCATAGCACTAGACAATACGATAATCATTTTCATTAGTTAATCAAAAAATTATTAATGCACTTAAAGTTTGGAATGTGTTTTAAAGTATGGAAGATTTATAAACAATGTTAAAATATAAGACCCACTTCGGATAGTGGGATAATTTTATTATTAGTTTCTTACAAGAAAAATACACTTTTCCAGTTATCTTCAATTGAGACTGAGCTATAGAAGATACGATTTTTATACTATTTATTTCTGAAACCAACTAGTTGATTATGTACTTCAGGTATATTGAAAATATTGAAAGTCGATCCGCTGATAATCGTAAATATATAATAAAAGAACATAGCATTTGAATTTGAAAAATGGTTATGGTATAGCTAATTTCTAAATGTTATTTTGAAAAAAAAATTAAATTAAGGGGCTTTTAGTTTCAAAAAATAAAAATTGAAATCATATGGTCAATGCACTCTTTAAACTTTTAAATGCACTCTTTAAACTTTTAATTTTAAATAGTTGTTAGCTCGAATGTTCTTACCACCTAAATATAAATTACAACGTTAACTATAGTTTCAAAAATTTTTTTTCCTTTCAAGTCAGCTTTCAATCTCTCGGTTTCAAACTAAAATACCGATATGACGGTAAATCTTTTCCTAATTCTAAAGTGATACCTTTCTAAATTTCTCTTTTGTAGTTATCCTTACAAATCCCCTTCTGAAGTTTATTTCTATTCTATTTTGGTTTCCTTTCTTTTAGATTTTCCTCCCTCCCTAAGTATAATAATTTTAACGTCAAGAGGCTTTCTGTAATTATCTTTTATATTTTAAAAAATTCCTGCTAAAATTTTATTTCCCCCATTTCGCTGCCTACCCAACATAGTCGGATCGAAACAGCAAAGCTCATGCATAAACTCAAGCGATCACTACTTATTTCTTCCCTAAATATCAATGGCTTATGGAATAAACTCGCCATTTTACTTAGACTAATGACAGATGAAAAAATCGACATAATTGCTCTACAGGAAACCCATGCCACAGGTAACGTTACGGCAACATTTAACCACTATATTCTATACTGCTCTGGAACCACTTCAAACATCTGGTCAGGCGTTGGGTTTCTGGTAAACAAGAAAATTCACAATCATATAAATAAGTTTACACCTATCTCAGAGAGATGTGGGCTACTATACATCAACACAAACTATAGGCAAACAATACTGGTTAACATCTATGCACCTCCAAATAAGAGAGACAGGTTACTCTTCCTTGACGATCTGGAAAACATAATCAATACCTTACCCAGAAGATATAACATAATCTTGTTAGGTGATCTAAATACCAGGATTGGTTTGGAGGAGATCTATAAAAGGAACAACATTATTGGAAATGCAGCTCTCGCACAGCCAAATGGGGATGATAGTCGGAAATTGCTTGATTTATGTAGCAGTAATAATCTTAAAATTGAAAATACTTTCTTCTCTCATAGGGAGATAAATACACTCACCTTTAAAAGGGGAAATTACTTTTCGCAGATAGACTTCTTTATCTCAAATGTCCACGGCTGGTTCAAAGATGTATTAGCCATGACGAGTGTTAACTTATCCGATCATAAAATGATCAAAGCAAAAATTTTGGTGAAGAATTTATAAGGTACCTCAACCAGATCAAATAACTTCCTTAACCAGCCTGCTACACTACGAAGGCAAAATATTAATCAATTACAAATACCAGAGATTAGAGAACTTTTTGACCGTAGACTATGTGAGAAGGCTACAATTTTTGAAAGCATATCCCAGGCCAAAACAGTGGAAAAGTGCTGGATGATCTTTAAATGTGACATTCATGAGGCAAGCAAGGTATTAGCAAGAAACAACTCTCTCGGAAGGAATGAATGGATATCCACCACTACTATGATAAAAATTGAGGAGCTCCGTTTAAAAGGCCACTTTGATAAAGAACTGTGGAAAGCTATACAGAGATTGCTTAGAAGTGATAGAAGAATTTTTACGGTCAGGAAAGCACACGAGATTGATGCAGATATGAGAGGAAACAGGCTTTTTGATGCCTACAGTAAACTCAAATATTTTTGCAAACAAAATTTTTAAAAAACTCCCTTCCATTCGATTGGAAAATAACAAAATTATAATCGACCAGGATGATCAATTGGCGCTCTGGACGGACCACTACATGAGGATCTTCGAATCCAGGAAACCGATAAGCGTACTATCTGATTTCCAAGCTACACCTCAATATACCTCTCAGTTCTCAACACCCCAATATACCTCTCAGTTCTCAACGCCTCAATTTACCTCTCAGTTCTCATTAACCGAAATTTCTTCTGCACTTAAAAAACTTAGAAATCACAAAGCTCCTGGCCCAGACAATATTACTGGGGAGCATCTTAAAGCAACATCAGAGGCAGTACCACGTTTCCTGCAAATCATCTTCAATAAAATTTGGTCCACAGGGGTGACACCGAAGGACTGGAATCTATCCACCCTTTGCAACTTCCCTAAAATTCCAAATCCCACTAAATTTGGAGATTACAGGTCAATAGCACTCACCTCTACTGCTTCTAAAATATTTATGATCCTCCTCAAGGTTCGCATTTTACAAACCTCACAAAACCTCTTCGCCAAGTATATCTGCGCCTATCGCCCAGGCAAAAACATTATGGAGCCTTTTCTTGCTCTGAAAATCATCGTTCAAAAATGTGATAGATATAAACTACCTTTCTTTTTCACTTTTATCGATTTTAAACAGGCGTTTGATAATGTTAATCATGATGCGCTTTGGAAGATTTTATCAGATGTTGGGGTTGACATTAACATAATCAAGATATTACAGCACCATTATAAAAATTTGCTTACCTCATGTAGAATAAACAATAAAATCTCTCCACCATTTAGAATAAAAAAAGGAGTGAAACAAGGCTGTGTTCTCTCGCCAATCCTCTTCAATATAGTTATGAATAAGATTTTAAAGGATACTTTAGACGCTGCGAACCTGCTGGAACTAAATTTATATCCGAATAAGTACAATCTAGAGAACAGGATTATATCCTACGCCGATGATGTGGTAATCATCACCAAGGATTTAGAGGAAACCTCCAATCTTTTTCATTTGTTGAAATTGGTGAGCTCGAAAGTCGGGCTAGAAATAAATTTCAAGAAATCCATGATTATGTTAGCAAGACACACGCCTCCCATAGAAAGTATCGATGTTGGGTCGGAGGTGATTAAAGTGGTTACCCAAATAAAATATCTAGGAATTACCCTAGATAATAGAGGGGGCTGTGAAGAAGAACTCAGGATAAGAATACAAAAAGCTAGAGTAGCTTTTTACAAGTACTTCAAGTTATGGAAGACAAGGGAGATACCTGCCTTCACACGACTACGTATCTTTAATTCCACTGTAATTCCCATTCTATTATATGGCTGTGAAACATGGGAAATAAGCAAAGCTGATAATAGGAAATGTCAAACGTTTAACAAGTGTTTAAGGATAATTAAGGGCATTTTCTACCCCAGACTAATATCGAACAAAAGGTTATGGAAACAATCAAAACATATTCCTTTCCATATCATACTAAAGAAAAAACGAATTAATTTCTTAGAGCACATTCTGAGACACCCCAACTGCAATTTGGTTTATGATGCTTTAACTTGGCTTTTTACCTGTAAAGTTAAATCATACAGCAGATACAAAACATTATGGCTCCACCTTGAAAGACGCTGCTGACCTGAACTTAAACTGGAAACAGTTCATCAGACTAAACAAAAATAAAAAATCTATCAAAAAGCTTCTTAAGGTAAAATCTGGGTACCTGAGATGATATCCCCTATCCGTTACTTCACCCTTACCCACAACTATACCCTTCCTCTCCCTCAGCCACCTCAAGAGTACAAGTTTTCTTTTATTTGAATAACATATTTTTTTATTAAATGCAAATCTTTAAACATTAACTTAAACCAGCCTTCCCCTATCCAATCATAGTTAGATAAAATTAGGACAGTAGGTATGGGTGTGGGCTGTCTTATTTGGCCCTGTCCCTTCTCAATCAGCCCATAGACGTTTAAACGATAATCCTTGGACTATTGTGCATACAAGTACGTGCAGCTTGCCCACAAATGTGTAAAGGGTTTCTCATATTTTCTTCCCCGATTACCTTAATAAATCCAATTAGATGGAAATAAGAAAAACCTAGCGTAGCTCTGTTGTTCCTACAACGTTGAGAGGGCGAATGCGCTTTATCACGTAAAATATTCAAAAATCTTCCTTCCATTCGATTGGAAACTAATAGTTAAAATTGACCAGGACAATCAGTTCGCACTTTGGACAGATCATTACATGAAGATCTTCGAATCTAGGAAACCAACAAGTATTCTATCTGAACAGCAAGCTACTCCCCAATCTACCTCCCAATTTTCACTACTGATCTCCACTACACTCAGAAAACTTAGAAATCATAAAGCTCCTGGCCCATGTAATATTACTGGTGAACATCTCAAGGCAACATCAAATGCTGTACCACACTTCCTGCAAATTATCTTCAATAATTTTAACCCCCTCCCCCCATGGATCAATCCTAGCTACGCCATAGTAACTATTTCTTTCTTTTTTAAGATTATGTAATTTTTGACAAAAAATAAAATTCTAAATTTGTCTCCTTAATAACTATTTTATTTACCTAATATAGTATAGGATAATATATAAGGACAAATTAAAATTGTGTTATTTGACTAAATATATAAATTATAATTAGTGAATAATTTAAAATCTATTTTACTTTTCATTTAGTAGTTAAATTTTTCTGAAATATAAATGATTTTGAAATGGAAATATGGAAAGTAATAAATGTTATATATTATTCTATGATACAATTCATATATTATAATAGTCACCAAAATTATTTGATTATTTATTTTACTTATTATAAAAAAAGAGATACTCTTAATTTGCTTCCCAAATGTATATTTTTTTAATGTAATAAAAATTTTCTATTTATAATTTTTTGTAAGAAAAACTATAAGGTCCCTTACTTATATTGACACTTCAACAAATAATAATATCCAAATAATCTCAAAAATTATATTGGTCACAAAGCATTATAATGTATAAATGATAAAACTTAATATTAAAAATATATTATACTCTTTTGGGCAAATCAAATGGATGTAGCCAATGATTTCTGTTACTTGATTCCAAGTCACGATTTATTCCCTCTAGAAATCTATAATCTTAAAAATAATAAAGATACCTATATTAAATTTCGTACCTGAAAGGAGTGTAAGGTTATCAAACTTGCTCATTGGAATATATTTAGTTCTATAATTATTCCCTTCACAATCATATTCCTTTTTATGTTTTTTGACACAATCTAGAGAGCAAGTACAAATTTCGCATTGAGGACATTTGTATTTGTAAGTTCTAATATTACAAATTTGGCAACTAATAATGATATAAACAATTAAAAATAAAAAATACAACTCAACTTTGCTTTTTGTAAATCCATGAGAAGGAATGAGTTTCGTGCCTTTGATCGTATCACACTAGATCGTAAAAGTTGCGTCCATATCTGTGATTGGTCTAAGAACAAAATCACTTTTTAAAATTTTGAAAAATGTCGATTTTTGAGGCCGATCAGAAAATAAATGAAAAAGGAGAGGTAAAATATAAACTTTTTTTTATCATATAAATGATAACTTATCTCATTTCATATTCATATGTTTTACATGTTAATAAATTTATTTTTACGCTGCGATTATTGGAAAAATATTTGTGGAGGTTCATCATTGATCTGATAATTAATACTTCGCCAATGACATATCTCTTTGATATTCGTTCGATTTTTATAATTATTAATTTTATATGACCTTTGTTTTACATTATAATAATCAAAATAATAATATTTAAATATTTTAAATGTTTTATTTAATCTATAAGCCTTAAAATCTTTAATAAACTATTACACTATAAACATCCAAGTATTATATAAAAGAGAAGTGCACTATTAGGTGAGTTCTTTTTTCACAAATTTTAGTAATGTTTGTGGGCCTGCGGTATAATTAGATTTTTATAAAAATTATTTTAAGATCTTCGATTTTTTTTTAATATAAAAATGCCTTTTTTCTAAAAAATTTGGAACATAGTTTTATTTTTAAAATTTATTATCATTTACTAATTTTTCTTTTAACTTATTCCTTATGGTGATATATTGTATACATTTTTTGTGGGGGTAAAATTTTATTGCTTTAAATGATATTCGCGGTAGCAGAGATTTGCGATTAGGGGAGGGGATTTTCCCACCCTAATGCCTGCTACAAAATTACCAATATTTTACTTTCTAAAATTGACATAAAACAAGAAAAGCAATTTATATTATATAGCATATTAATAATTTATAATAAAATATAATTTATGCTGTAAAAATAACAATATTTAACTCTCCAAGATAGATATAAATTAAAACAAGATATAATGGAATGGAAGTATAAAAACTTGAATACTCTGAAAAATGCAAAGAGAAAAAAAATGATTCAACAAATAAAAAAAAATTAATTTTATGGATTTAAAGATAAAAAAATTTTAAAATATTGTTCTTAAAAACTTGTTTTATACCTTGAACTCTCCACTTTTAAAAACGACCCAGCAAAAATAGAAGTGTTCAGGGGGTGTTTCACATCCCTATTTTAAATTGCATGTCAGAAGTTGCTTAGCTTTCGCTTAAAAAACATGGTATTTATATTTTGGTGTAAATAAAAATATTATTTTGTAAAAACATATTACACTGTTTTATATTTTATTTTAGTTATATTATTTCTTTAATTAAATGTATTTTAATTTAAATTACTTTAATTAAAATTTTTAAATGCAAAATATTAAATTATTTTAAAGATATATTTTATTTTTAATCCTTGAATTAAAAGTCTAATCCAATATTTTAAAACCTTGCTGCCATCTATGAGCAAAATTTCCAGACTTGTGTAATATTTGTGGATAAAATATCGGGTTAGCCGTTTTTAAAAACAAAACTATTTATTAGAAATCATCTGCCCCTAAGTATGGAAGAGCCCTGAATATTTTAAAGTTTTAGCTTTAATTCAGACAATATATTTTTAACGAATTATTATATAATTGAAAAATAAAAATTACAAGAATTCAATATGAGAATAATGCAAGTAAAAGAAGCAATCCATTGTCATTTCTAAATATTCAATTTATTATATTTTAGATAGTATAGAGCATTTTGGGCCAGACTTATTTTCCATGAACATTGAGCTAAACAAGACCTAATAACACATTTTCAACGTTTTTTATTGAAAAAGTATATATATAATTATGAAATGTTGCCATTTGTCATCATTATGATATTCATTTGAAAAAAATATACAATTTATTTTGAATGATAAGATATTTTACATTTTATACATTCGAATCTGGAATAACCATTTATGCAGTTCTCCCATCTTTGCCTGTTAGCCATCGATGGTCAATGACCCATTTTATCAAATCTAATATCTGTAATTGGGAGAAAACTATTCAATTTCCTTTTTTTTTAATCTTCAACGTAGGTCTACCTTTTTTTTTATCATTTTACTTTACAACCATCATCAATTATATCTATCTGAGCTTTAATTACTAAAAGAGATACATGTTTACTATTTATATTATGTGGCGTCTATAGACCAATTACGATTTCACGACTCAGGAATCTAATAAATAAAAAAAACTCAATAAAAAAGCTCTTTTATGTCTGTTCTGTAGAGTTCAATCAACATATCCCGGAGATGCACCCACCACTAACACAGTTATAGTCTTGAATTATGACCGGAATTTCGACATTGACAAAAGATTTATTAGATATCGACCATCTTCTCATTCGTGATATGGGATTTATACCCATAAATGATGATATAGTGATAACCGATTTGTTAACAAACCATTTGTAAATTATATTATTATTATTAGAATCCACCTTATATTCTAGGGACCTTTTTCCTTTTTATCTTTAGAATTTTTGTCATCACTTAGGTGGCATCCCAGTAAACAATTAGGGTCCCGACATGATAATCCATTATCTTTGAAAGCAACTGCTAAATTTTACGAAGAAACAAAGTTATCCATATAAACTTTATGATTTTTATGTGGGGAAACAGTTTCTAATACAAAAAACGATATATCCGCTAATTCATATCAAATTTTATTTATACTTGTGGATTATTAAATATGAAGTCATATAGAATTCCAGATGATTCACATAAAGTGAAAATTGACAGCACTAGCATAATTCTCCCCAGTATGATCAGCGCCTCACTACCTCGAAAATATGGCCTCTAATATCAACTAATTCCCTTAATAACGTCGTCCCAACTCAGTTATCTTATCAGTCATCTCATTATGACAAATATCCATCTACCTTAAAGTTTTGGCCTTTTAAATCATTTCACACATCCTTATCTAGTCCCCCTCCCCTTTAAAGGTTCCCATACAGTGTTATGCACTCAACCCTCAAACACTGCACTTTCCAAATCTATTCATACGCACAACAATCATCCACTGCAAAAAGTTAAAACGATGTTAGACTACCCGAAAAGCGAAATAGATAGTATAATAAAAAAACTAAAAAAGCGTGTGGCCAAGATTCGATACATAGTGAATACTTGAAGATGATCCTATGTTATTCGCGGAGATTCTCCTCCCAATCATAATAAGAGTATGGAATAAAGGGACTTGTCCTAGGGATTGAATCACAGCTATCCTAGTCAATTTCCCGTAGCCAAGAACCCTAAATTCCTTGAAGACTGGAGGGGAATCTCATTGAAATCGGTCGTATATTTGTGAATGTTATTTTAAATAGACTAAAGCCGTTAGTAGAACCGCTGTTCGTCGATTCATTAGTTTCGTTTAAGAAGGGTCGTGACGCACTTGAAGCAATTCTTGCACTTAAAATTTATATAGAGAGAGCTGTTATTCGGAGAAGTCAAGTGATAATTGTTGCTTTAGATTTCAAGAAAGCTTTTGATTCCATAATACATATTACGCTATGAATCACCTTATAGGAGGTAGGTAGGCCTACAGCTTTGATTAACTTGATGAAAATTATTTATAAAGATTACTAAATTTAAATAATCCATGCTGGCGTAAAAACCTTTTCAAATTCCGGTTAATATCGGTTTGAAATATGAATGTGTTTTATCACTTTTATTATTTAAATTTGTTACCAATTACATCATAATGGAAGTTAAAGCTACAAACTTGGCTGGGAAGACAATTGGAAAGCTTAAGTGATTTGTGAATCTGTGTTAGATCTTCAATCTGTCATTGATTTTATCATCATTGAGGCTGGATGTTTTTATCTAAAATTAAACATAAAAAAACTAAACTGACGACATCATTCTACACCTCTTCATACGTAAATTTAACAGTAAAAGGGAAGAAGATTACTGAAGTGCCTCATTGAAATATTTAGTAGTCTTACTAGATAGAAAAGGGTGCACCAAACAAGATCAGATGGCTAAGCTAAATAAAACTAGGGCAAAATATAGATTATTCATGAAAATTTGGTTATCACCAGAGTTGTACATTTGCTCAAAATAAAAAGATCTTCAAAGATCTAGATCCTTGAAGATCGTAAAATTTGAAGATCTTTTATTTTTTAAAAATTATGTGTAACGATCATCAAAGATCTTCATGATATTTATTTTTTTACCCCTTTATTAAAAGCCCAGATGTTTTTCAATTTTATTAATATAATATTTCTTTTATGTTTTATACCTCTCCTCCTGCCTTGATGAAAATTGAAAAACATCTGGGCTTTTAATAAAGGGGTAAAAAAATAAATATCATGAAGATCTTTGAAGATCGTTACACAAAATTTTTAAAAAATAAAAGATCTTCAAATTTTACGATCTTCAAAGATCTTGCTCAAATTTTTGAGCTAGATCTGGCTCAAAAATCTTCAAAGAAGATCTTTTGTACAACTCTGGTTATCACATCAATTATCAATTCTTCTAAAGTTAAGACGATTCTAAGTTTTAATAATTTCATCCCTTTATTATGGTATGGAAACTTGAAAGGATACTAAATTAGATAATAGAAAGACGCAAATGTTTATAAATAAATGCCTCAGATACATTACTAGAAGGTTACCCTCATAAAACTAATTATACACTATAGACCAGATGCGATATACTCCCTCACTATAAAATGATTAAATATAGGAATAGGTTGATCATATTTTAAGACATACTTCTAACAACTTAATCTATCAAGCACTGATAAACATATTTTCCAATGAGTCAGCTCTTAAGCCTTTCCTATCATATAAAAGTAGTTGGTTTGGCAGAATAACAAGGTCTCTAGGGGAGTTAGATCTATCCTGTGAATTCTTAAAGAGAGCTTCCACAGATAGGAAAACTTTCAAGTTCATTCTGAGGCTCTTTATAAGCATATGATAAACAACTGCTAAGTGTGGTAAAACCGGTAAAACTAATAAATAATTTTTATTATTAAGATTCCAAATTAACTTCATGTTTTAAAATAAACGATAAAATATCACCCT